AGTATAAATGTTAGTCTACTGACCTTAATACGATTACCGTACAGTATAAATGTTAGTCTACTGACCTTAATACCATTACCGTACAGTATAAATGTTAGTCTACTGACCTTAATACTATTACCATACAGTATAAATGTTAGTCTACTGACCTCAATACTATTACCGTACAGTATAAATGTTAGTCTACTGACCTCAATACTATTACCGTACAGTATAAATGTTAGTCTACTGACCTCAATACTATTACCGTACAGTATAAATGTTAGTCTACTGACCTCAATACTATTACCGTACAGTATAAATGTTAGTCTACTGACCTCAATACTATTACCGTACAGTATAAATGTTAGTCTACTGACCTTAATACTATTACCATACAGTATAAATGTTAGTCTACTGACCTCAATACTATTACCGTACAGTATAAATGTTAGTCTACTGACCTCAATACTATTACCATACAGTATAAATGTTAGTCTACTGACCTTAATACTATTACCTTAATACTATTACCGTACAGTATAAATGCTAGTCTACTGACCTTGATACTATTACCGTACAGTATAAATGTTAGTCTACTGACCTTAATACTATTACCGTACAGTATAAATGTTAGTCTACTGACTTTAATACTATTACCGTACATTATAAATGTTAGTGACTTAAATTTGTATATTTAAGGGAAAGAAAAAGCTATTTAACTTATAAAAAAAACAACAACTAATGTTAGAGTTAGTGATTTTTGTGGAATTTAAAAACTTTGTTCTATTACAGAACCAAAGATCGAGCCTTGCCTGACATCCCTATGCCAGTTACTACCCGCAGCTCAACAAGTGAATCAAACCCAGATTCCGTGGCTGACAATACTTCTGATTCCTATGCAACTGTTACCAAGGGGGTAGTGAATCCAATTAAACCTAGAAATCATCGACGAAATAAACCCAAAGCTCCAAAACCACCTGGCATGAATGAATTAACAATTTCTGTAAGAAACATATTATATCAATTAGTAATAATATCACAATTCCTGCATACTTTTTTGAAGTGTGTATATATATTTACTAGAATATAATTTTTCATTATAGTTAATACCATCTGGTGATGCTAGACCATTTAAATTAATGTTTAACCTGTGTTGTTCTTGTATGATAATTTTTTTGTAAAAGGAAAAACAGTTTTAGAAGAATAACCTTGCATGTTTGGATAAAATTTGTTTCTCAGTTGTTAAGCTCAGAGCTACATCTTGGGCTGTTTTTGCCGTGCCCACCATGGATATCGAAACCTAAATTTTAGTGTTATAAGCTTTTTGACTTGTCACTAAACCACTGTAAGGGCAAAGGTTTAGGATAATGAGGTGTTGTACATGTATAAACTAGTAACTTTTGTAAAATAAAGATGAACAGAATTGTGTAATTTGTATAAGGTTGTTATAATTTTTTTTTTTCCTAAGCCTAAAAACATCAAAATACTCTCCACTGTACCGAAGCTTTATGAGAAACCATGCTTCAGTACTTAGCCAAGGAATTGAGGTTTCTTACAAGCTGATTAAGTACAAAACTTATTATTCATGGGGAAAATGCCTATATTATTGACAGGACGATTTTTATACACTAGACTAATGGTTTAAAAACACTGTACAAAGTTTCTTTATAACACCACTTTCAGCTGAAAATGAGAACCTGATGGAATTTAGCACTTTATTATTATTATTATTATTCAGTGAATTAAAATAAACATGGATTATGAAATATGAGTATTTACTGAACTTCCTACAATCTCTGAAAGTTTCCAAAAAAGCTGGAAGTTTTAAGTTGGGTTTTAGTAAAATAATGTCAGTATTTTGCTGTTACGTTTTTGTATGTGCTTCCTACAATCTCTGAAAGTTTCCAAAAAAAGCTGGAAGTTTCGAAGTTGGGTTTTAGTAAAATAATGTCAGTATTTTGCTGTTACGTTTTTGTATGTGCTCTTTTTTTTAATTATTATTAAGCTTTCTGTATTATAAAACCTTGATAAGATGAGTTGCTTTTTCAGTGTATTTTAGAGTTTTGGGGATAACTTGTCTTATGGAATCTGTCATTAAAGCAATGAAAACATTTTATGATATGTAAGTTTTCTAGAATATTTAAGTTATATTACAAGATAACTGTGGAAAAGTTTATTTAATAAACTATAAATAGATATTGTAAGTGTATAATGTACAGATATCCAAAGATGCTTTGAAATGGTACAATACTGCGATTGTAGAATACATGAAATGGTAAACTGAGTAATGTACCAATCTTGTCCCGAAGAGAAGGAAAAGTGTTGTTAAATTTCTGTCTTTTCTGTTTGCAAAAATAAACAAGTTGAACATGCTAAATTTGACAAATTAATATCACCATTTTTGGTGTGAAAGAGCAACAAATCAAATGTTTCAGTACATGAAACAGATACTCAATATTAAGCCACTAGCCCTGTCGAGGTGGCATGTGTGTCAAGTCTACAGCCAAACCAAATGCATTTCTTACCTATTCTAGTAGCATTAATGTTGAGCCCCGATTCGTGTAAGTTGAATCGAACACCAGACTTTTAGAGAGAGCGATGAAAGAAACAGATTCATCAAGTGTAAATACTAGTTCAGATTGATGCACTATTTACACGAGTAAACTAAAACATGCCATGTATTGTAGTACAGCATAGTAACTTTTACAGAAAAAAAAATGGTGCTGTTATCAATTCTTTCTACTTTTGAATGTGGGATGTTATATTTAAGATATAAAAACCTTAAATTAAAATAGAGTTCCAATAAACCCTGACAGAACACGTTCCCTCTTTTCTTTCTGAATTGCTTTGGTTTTTGAAGGATTTCTATTGGTAGAGGAGAATCTGATCAGTCTCGTTGAAAAATTTATAAACTCCAAATGTAGGAAAGTGTCTGAGAAAGAAAAACTCGAGTTTTGGGAAAAAAACTTGCAACTTTTTTTGGTTAATTTAAGTTGGACGACAGTTCGGATCACTGTCGTTATTCTTCTTCGTCTCTAAAACAACAATATCCAAAGTTTTCACTGCTTGCTCATCCAGAAAGAAGGAACTTTTTGAATTCT